ACTATTTATGTATTTTTTTTCCAAAACGGGGGTGTGCATCACATAGACCCCCCCAGCAACTTGAAATTCGCGATTGGGGGGGGGTTACATTTTTTCCCAGGGCCCCCAAACTACCGTAAATGACCCCCCCCAAAACTTAACTTTTTTTTTTTTTTTCCGGTTTTGTGGCGTACCGGCCGACGTGCGCAGGCGGCGCGCGCGCTGTCGGAGAGCGGCGCGCCGCGTCAACGTATAGTTGACTCGTTGCGGTCAGCCTCTGCACTATAGAGTTGCATGTGGTCACAATCGGTAGGATGCTGACTTACTGGTTTGGCCCCTTGGGTCGAGCCAACGGGCAAGACGGCATGACGGTCCAGACCCATAGAGATTGAATCACGACTTTTTGGGCTGAACCGCCACGTTTACAAGGACTAAATTAGTAGGACCTGGTCCGGATGGCACTGAAAACGGGCCAAGGGTTAGTGAGAACTGACCACTTGGGACCGGACTTACTGCGTCTACGGCCCGAAATGGTCAAGGGGAATACGGGATTGGGCCCTTATTAAGACTAAGAGGGGTGTTTCGTTTTCAAAACAAAGTCGACCCTTAGTGTTCCAAAGTCGGGCCAGTTTAAGCCCGACACTAATTTTAGTACTGGTCCGTGCTAATTTTAGCATAGGCCACGCTATTTTTCGCGCAGGCCTGGGTTATTTTTAGAGCAGGCTCGTGCTAAATATAGTGCAGGCCCGCCCTATTTTTATCCCAAGCCCCGCGCTAATGTTAGCCCAGGCCCGCGCTATATATAGCGCAGCCCCATGCTATTTTTAACACTGGACAGACTGTTCGTGTCCCAAAGTCGGGACTGTCCCAGTCCCGCGCTAATTTTAGTAAAGGCCTGTGCTAATTTTAACACAAGTCTGTGCTATTTTTATCCCAAGGGCTGCTGCACTTCGCCCGACCACCCGGCCTCTTCACTATAAAAGAGAGGCCGTGCCACTTGAGAAGAGAGGGTCCTCACTTGCGGGAATGCGGAAGCGCTGGCGGAACGGCAGGGAAGGAAGAGGACCAGTTTTGCTGTGCTCAAGCAAGTAAGAAGAGTGAGACCAAGGCAAGCAAGGAAGAGGTAAAGGGTCGGAGTTGTTTGGGGAAGCACGGGAGTTTGAGTTCCCATCAAGACCATTGCTCTCTCCCCTGCCTCCTCTCCTACCTCTTTCTGCTTTCTTCACTCCCTCTTCTCTTCCTCCCTCTCCCCGCACATCTTTTTCCCACTGGCCATTTACCATATGGGCGCCTGTTTAGCTCTGGCAATGGGCTGGCATAGTCGGGTAGAGTTCTGATCCGCCATGTGTCAGCTTGGCACAGTCTGGCGCAGTTCAAACTTGTCATTTGGTAGACTGGCGCAGTCAGGCGCAGTTCTGACCTGTCATTTGGCAGCCTTGCGCAGTCTGGCACAGTTCTGATTTGTCATTTGGCAGCTTGGCGCAGTCTGGCGCAGTCCTGATTTGTCATTTGGCAGCCTAGCGCAGTCTGGCGCAGTCCTGATTTGTCATTTGGCAGCCAGGCGCAGTTGTGACTTGTCATTTGGCAGCCTGGCAAAGTCTTGATTTGTCATTTGGCAGCCTGGCGCAGTCTGGTGCAGTTCTGACTTCTCATTTGGCAGCTTGGCGTAGTCTGGCGCAGTCCTGATTTGTCGTTTGGCAGCCTGGTGTAGCCTGATCTGTGGAAGTCGTTGATCTTGCCTCTGAGCGCCCACGCGCACCCCATTACTGTACCGGAGAATTGTGCGCTTTCGCACACTGTGTTTTAAGGGCCTTTTTCTGAACTAAGAAGACCATGCGCTTACGCGCACTGTATCTGAGGGTCGAGTTTGCGCCTGCATGTCAACGGGCACTCATTTAAAGTACGTTGATTTACTGTGCCACGGGGCACTCGTTGTGAGCATGCTGATTTACAGCGTTAAGGAAGCACTTATTCTTGGCATGTCGATTTACTTATTTTGAGCATTCGGAGCATGTTGATTTTGAGCACACTGATGATATGCGACTGTGCGCATTCAGACTTGAATGTGACACTGCGCCCTTTATCTGAGAAACAACATTGATGATCTCGAGTACATGCGACTGTGCACACTCAGACTTGAGTGCGACACTGCGCCCTCGATTTGCAAATCTTGTCTCAGTGACCTTGAGCGAGCGCGATACTGCGCACTTAGCCAGTAAAGCCCAACATTGATGATCTCGAGTACATGCGAGTGTCCACACTCAGACTTGAGTGCGACACTGCGCCCTTGATTTGCAAATCTTGTCTCAATGACCTTGAGTGAGCGTGATATTGCGCACTCAGCCAGTAAACCCCTGTATTGGTGATCTTGAGTACGTGCGACTGTGCGCACTTAGACTCATCTTTGAGTGAGTGTGACATTGCGCACCTGATCTGTAGGATGGCATTGATGATTTGAATTTGTGCAACAATTCGCACTCAATTAGTAAACTCGGCTTTTGATGATTTCGAGTCTGTGCGACAGTGCGCACCCCATCTGTAAACATGGCATTGATGATTTTGAGCCTGTGCGACAGTGCGCACCCCATTTGAAAACCTGGCATTGATGATTTCGAGTCTGTGCGACAGTGCGCACCCCATCTGAAAACTCGGCATTTATGATTTTGAGTCAGTGCGACAATGCGCACTCCATCTGCAAAACTCGGCTTTGAGTATGTGCGACAGTGCGCACTCCATTTGTAGACTCAGCTTTGATGTGAGTGCGACGGCGCGCACTCTATCTGTAGACCTTGCTGAAGTCAGTACGCCCATGCTCGCTCGATCTGCGCACACTGCTGGTTTCGAGCCAGCGCGCCGGTGCGCACTCAGCCTGTGAGCCTTGTCATTGATTCTGAGACCCAACAGTCGTCCCATTGAGGGATGTCCCATCGAAGATCTTTGCCAATCCGGGACCATGTTCGAGTGCTCGCCCAGTCTCAGTTTGGCTGTTTGAGTGCGCGCCCAGTCTCAGTTTGGCTGTTCGAGTGCGCGCCCAGTCTCAGCTTGGCTGTTTGAGTGCGCGCCCAATCTCAGTTTGGCTGTATGAGTGCACACCCAGTCTCAGTTTTGGCTGTTCGACTGCGCGCCCAGTCTCAGTTTGGCTGTTCCAGTGCATGCCCAGTCTCAGTTTGGCTGTTCGAGTGCACGCCCAGTCTCAGTTTGGTTATTCGAGTGCTCGCCCAGTATCAATTTGGTTGTTCGAGTGCGCGCCCAGTCTCAGTTTGGCTGTTTAAGTGCGCGCCCAGTCTCAGTTTGGCTGTTTGAGTGCGCGCCCAGTCTCAGTTTGGCTGTTTGAGTGCGCGCCCAGTCTCAGTTTGGCTGTATGAGTGCGCGCCCAGTCTTAGTTTTGGCTGTTCGAGTGCGCGCCCAGTCTCAGTTTGGTTGTTCGAGTGCGCACCCAGTCCCAGTTTGGCTGTTTGAGTGCGCACGCAGTCTCAGTTTGGCCGTTTGA